TTTTTTTTTTTCTAATGAGTTAAAGTATGTTTATATTAGATTAGTTTATATTGGGTAGTTTTATGTAGACTTAGGAAGGTGAGTGTTTAATCCCGTAACCAGTTCTGGGAAGTCTGGGGGGATTGGGGAAAGGGATTTCTTATATATTTTGGTATACTAGAATGGTAGTGAGATAAGAATGGAGGCTCGGGTGACCTACAGGAACACATTTGGAAGAGGAGGAGGGAAGGAGGGGGGATGTGTAGAGTAGAGTGGTCGAGAGGGTGGAGAGGAGGGAAGGAGGTAGAAGGAAGGAGGGAAGTAGGTTGAAGAGAGGGAATGTGTTCCTGTGGGGCTACTGAGCATCTTAGAATGGGAGGTTTTTTTTAGGTTGTTTTTTTTTTAATTAATTGTATTATTGATTTATGCCATAATTGTATGTTTGTTTATTTTGGGTGGATGAAAAAAAAATCAATAAAATTTGTTTATAAAAAAAAATTAAAAAAAAGATTGAATGTTAAAATAACTAGGATATGTATAAACTAAAAATTATTGATAAATGTAAGAAAGTTATTTTTATTTAATTGATATAATAAGAATTGTATTAGTTTAAACCTGAGACATTAAACACTAAGGGGGAAAGGGAGGAAATATTTAATGTAATAGTCTGAGATTTGTACTAAAGATATTTGTATGTTATTGAATTATCAGTTAACTCAGCCACCACATTGCTTTTTAAATATTTAAATGTAAAACTAGAAAATCAATAAAAAAATTAAAAAGAAAGAACTTTAGGACTTCCAAATTTGTGTATTGCTGCTGCATTCTGGTCCAGTTAAATTTTCTAGGTGGTTTTCAAGGACAACCTCATGTAGAGTGAGGCATTGCAGTGATCAAAACAAGAAACATGTATTGCATGAGTGACTATGAGCATGAGACCATTATATTTGGTTCAAAGACGAAAACCTTCTTGAATGATTCCCAGTGTGTCAATGATCATTCAAGAACTGACATCCTGGGCAGAAGGTAATGATAAACTCATGGACTCTATTGATTTTCCTTTCCATTTCTAAATAGACGACATGGTTCTCAGATATTATTTGACATGAGTATTTTTGGAGCCATTTTGCCAGTTTCAAATTCTTATTGCTTGCTTCTTTAAAATACAGTATATGAATCTCCATTTTGTGCACTATATCCATTTGGACATATGTACATACATATTAATGTACACATATA